GTAATTTAACTAATATAGAAATTGATAGATATGTAATACGGGGATAACGATATACAAATTAAGAAACAAAAGGGATATGTCAAATTTGGCAAGGGAATAAAGACAATAACGGTTAATCAGCCAAAACTGTTAGTGTAACGGGATCATGTTTGCAACCGTCAAAAAAAAATAACGTGGTAACAAATTCCTCTTCTTAGTTTCCGAGCTCCTGCGAGGATCAATCAGGTTCGGAATCGCCTTTCTCGGATCGCGGATGATACAATTTGAGATGATTGCCATGGACTTTTTGCTTGATGACCTTATCGTCCATCGTTCTCAGTTTGTAGACACCATTTCCTAGGACATCATGAATATAGAAAGGACCTTCCCATTTCTCACCTAGCTTTTTTTTATGGGTCCCCTCAAGTTGGGATTTGTAATGAAGGACTTGCTCCTCTATAGTATAGCTCTGAAGGATGAAGCGCGAATCATAACGGGCCTTTTGTAGTTGTTGAGATTTTTTTATTCGAGCTTGAGCTTTAGTATGGGCTTCCGGGATGTTTCCTAAAAGGACCTGAACACGTCGAAGAATATTTTCTTGTAGTTCCGTTTCGGTGGAAGGAGGAATTTCCGGTACTAGGAGTCTAACTTCATCAGGAAGAAGAGCATCCCTTCTATACATCAAGAAAAAAGGCTCATACCGGGTGGTGGAATGTTTTGTGGTGCAGTATGCAAACAAAGCTGGGGGAATATATCGATCCCAGTCACCTTTAAATTGTAGGACGCATTTCGACAACACTTCACAAAGGGTCCTATTGAAGCGTTCTACGAGACCGTTAGTTTGGGGATGGTAAGTAGAGGAATACCGATGATGGACCCTCAGCTGGTTACAGATAGTGTCAATTAAAATGTTGTTGAAATGCTTGCCCTGGTCTGACAATAATACCTGAGGACATCCGTGTCAGTATATAATGTCCTCAATAATGAAAGACATGACTGATGAAGCACTGGCATCAGGAATGGCTCTAGCTTCAGGCCACTTCATAAGATACTCAGTTGCTACAACAATGTACTTGTTACCGCTCCTTGTAGATACCAAAGGCCCTACAAGGTCGATTCCGATCCTATCAAACGGCAATCCAACCTTGATAGGATACAGGGGTTCACGTGTTCAGGGTTTGCCTTTTTTCTGGTAGACGTCATATGACTGGATGTATTTCTTTACGTCCTCTCCCATCTGGGGCTAAAAATACCGTTGTGTAATTCGTTAAAGAGTGGAAAAACTGTTAAAGTGTCCTGAAAGGGGGTTGGAGTGCATGCTGAAAAGGACGGCAGGAACCTCAGGCCGTTGAACAACATGTAGAAGTTTGTGGGGTGGTTTTTGATATTTTTTATGTAATATATCATTGACGAGGGTATAATGTCTTGTTTGTTGTTTTAGTTTTGCTAGATTGAGTTTTTGAGGTATTGTAGAAACAGTTGATATTGCGCAGGATCCATAACGAACAATTTAATAAATTTAGCTATTTTAACGTATATACGATGATAGAAAAAGTGATAAAGTTGTATAATAATAAAACTGGGTGTTATTCGAAGTAGTTAAAAATTGGCAGGTGTTGTAGTAGAAGATTCAGCAATACGGGATAAACTGTTAGCGTTAGAATGAGATTTTCTGGCATGGTGAACGATGGTGAAGATATATTCCTGTAGAGCCAAAATTCAGCAAGCAAGATATCCGTGATGTAGCTTGTGACGAAGCAAGGACTTGAGTGCAGAATGATCGGTTATAACAATGAAATGGGTACCGTGAAGATATTGTCGGAAGTGGGACACAGACCATATGATGGCCAGACACTCTTGTTCAGTCACTGAATAGTAGCGCTCAGCAGATGACATGCTGCGACTAGCATAAGAAATGACCCTTTCTCTTCCTTGCAAATCTCTCTGGGAAAGAATTGTGCCAAGAGCGATTCCCAAAGCATCCGTGAAAAGCAAAAACTCTTGTGAAAAATTAGGGTAGGCAAGGATGGGGGCCGTGGTGAGCTTTTCTTTTAAGGCCTGAAAGGCAGTTTCCTGTTTGGACGACCATAGATACTTGATGTCCTTTTTAAGAAGGAGATGAAGTGGGGTAGCGATCTTTGAAAAGTCGTGAATGAACCTTCGATTGTAAGACGCCAGGCCCAGAAATCCTCGCAACTATTGCAGGGTGGTAGGTACAGGAAAGCTACGAACAGCTTCCACCTTTTGGGGGTCAGTAGATACACCATCGGGGCTAACA